TGGTGAACCCCGTCGATGTCCGTCTCTCTGTCTGTCTGTTTGTTTAGTCTGTCAGAGTTGGTGATTGATTGATCCTGGTGACTGTATGTCTATATATGAGAGACAGAGACAGACAGACAGACAGACACACACACACACACACACACACACACACACACACACACACACACACACACACACACACGGTATTAGAGAGATGAGAAGAGACTGTATGTGAGTTTGTCTACGCTCTTTCCATAGTAGTGAACAAACTGAATGGTGGATAATTTGAACTGACCATGAGAGACAGACAAGCATTGGTGGTGATGAGGGAAGGGAGGGAGGTGAGGGACTGTATGATAGATTAAAAAAAAAGGTGTTTATTCCTCTCTGTTTCAAGAGTTAACAGCTGTAGTATATTATCTAAACTCTCTTTTCTTTTTCTTCATTCTCATTCTTTTTCTTCTCCTCTCCCTTCTCCTTCTTACTTCATCTTCTTCCTCCTCTCCCTTATTCATAATTTTCGGCTTCAACTTCACCTTCCTCCTCTATTCCTTCATCTTCTTCCTTCTCTCCCTCTTCATTCTTCCTCTTATCTTCTTTTAATATTCCGTCATCCGGGTCTCTCTTCCGTGTCCGAAACCTTCCTTAAGTGACTTCATTGTCATTTTTTTTGCTTAACTTAACCAACTTCTTTATCTTCCCCCTTTTCTCCCTGAACCTGATCTGACCTGAACCTCCATCCACCTTAATCGCCTTTCTTCTGTCTCTGTCTTTATCACTCTCTTTAATCTCAACCTTTCTTTTTCTTTTTTTCTTTCTTATTATTTCTATCTTTTCATTTTCTTTCTCTCTCACTGTAGGGTAGGATAGGTTACGTTAGGTTGGAATTAACAATATGAGGCGGATATATTTTAGGCCGGACTAAAACGTAAACACATCAAAACACTGAACACAGCAATATAACGAGCAGGTATACTGTATGTCAACAAAATATATCATCGTGATTATTTTTGAGGGTTGATATTTCAGTAAATGTTCGTTCACATAGACAGGACGCGGCCTTCGTGACTTCATCGACTCTGCTAACTGATAAAACCATTATTGATATACGTCTTATTTCAGCAGGAAGTCGCCTTAAGTTAAACCTGGTACAGTGGCTGGTTCGTTTTGTGAGATGTGGAAACTCTGTGTTTGTTTACATCGTATTAAGACTCCCGGCATGGCCCTAAGGAACCTCACAATAGTAGCCAGACTAAGGATGCTTGATAAACATTCCACAGTAGTGCCACATTTCACGAAACACTCCAGCAACTGTACCAGGTGTAACTGCAGGCGACTGTACTAATACTGCAACACTTGAGTTTGTAATTATGATGGTCATTATCCTTTTACTAACGTTGTTGTGTTGTGTTGTGTTGCAGGAGTGCGCCCAATACTCATCTGGTGTCGCTGGCGGCGGGGGACCTCCTGATGGTGCTGCTGACCGTGCCCTTCACCTCCATCGTCTACACCGTATCATCCTACCCGTTTGGAGAGGCCGTGTGTCGAGCCTCCGAGTTCGCCAAAGACCTGAGTCTTGGCATCACCGTGTTCACACTCACGGCTCTCAGCGCAGACCGCTACATGGCTATCGTGCGCCCCGTCACACACCACGTGTCGGACTCCACCGGGCACGTCGCCATCGCTGTAGCCATTGGAATATGGGTGGTGGCTGCTCTTCTGGCCACACCCGCGGCCATCTTCTCCAACACACCAGAACTGGTCAACCCCAAGGGAGAAAAGTTCCATATCTGTACACCATACCCGGAGTACTTAGGGGCAGTGTACAAACAAGTCCACGCCCTGGTGAAGGCGATCATGTATTACCTTCTGCCTCTAGCTCTCATCGCTTCATTTTATGTCCTAATGGCGCGCCATCTGTTCATTTCAGCCCAGTTCCTGCCAGGTGAGGCGGCGGGCCAGCAGAGGCAGGCACAAGCTCGCCGGAAAGTGGCCAAGATGGTGCTGGCTTTCGTCACCATCTTCGCCATCTGTTTCTTGCCTTTGAATGTGTTTAATCTGTGGTGGCACTTTGCACCAAACTCCCGGGAAACTTATGATATTTACTGGCACACTTTTCGTATAGTTGGGTTCTGTCTCTCGTTCATCAACTCCTGCATCAACCCCATCGCTCTCTACTGCGTCAGCGGAACCTTTAGAAAGTACTACAATAAACACGTGTTCTGCTGGTGCACTAGACACTCAGGCAGGAGAGACTGGGAAGGAGCCGAGTCCACAGGAACACGGATAACCACGGCGGTGAGGACGGAACAAATCCCTCTCAAGATGGTGGGAACTGACAATGGGACGCAGCAGCCTCCTGCACACAGACTGACGCTGACCAACACCACCGTCCTCACCACTAAGCCTCACCACAACCCCGCCTCCCTCGTGTGACGCTCCCAGTCATCCTGAAGCTGCTGCATTACTCCCTCCCTCCCATCTGCACCTCCTGTAATCATTTTTCTCAGCTGTTCATCACCGTGTCTTCACCACCCTCTCACCACCTCCTCACTTATCTACACTACGATGCTTTCCTCGTTCATGAATCACCAACTCTTATGATAGGCAGTCTCTCCCCTTCACGTCCTGTTGACAGTGGTATTGAAGCTTCTCGCCATCTGACATTTCAACAGCACAAGGCAGCTTACCTCACAACCCCTCTCTATGTTTGTACCTTGATCCAGTGAGACGCTTTAAAGTGACGTCATCTCACACACACTTAATATTCCACCAATCAGAAGTTCTTGATCAAACAGTAGTACACGTCACCCACCAGCTAGTGTACACAAGCACCACCACACGACACACAAACACTCATACCATAATAAAACAAGACCCGACGTCACAGTGTAGTTTTTAAAATCACACGCAAACACAAGCACACAAACACACATCTAGGGAAAGACAATTTTGCCCTACAAACAGCTTTTCTTTCTATCTTCAAATCTTGTTCTTAAAAATTCCATCGTTTTTTCTTGAGATAATTAGAAAAAAAACTTTTAGATATAGACGATGTTTGAGTGTTTGTGTAGCACTTGATGTAAGATAATAGAGTTTCAGTGTTGATGTTTGTCCATTTTCTTGGTCGTAATTATCTGTCTGACCTTAAATTAGGTCGTAAGGTATTGCTTATTCTATGTATGAGCAGACAAAGGCGGTGAGAAATAACCTAAAGTGTTTCTGTGCAAGATATAACACCCTCACACCGAAAACCATCCATCAGTATTCTACAACACTTAGCACCGCCCACAATACTCACAAGCTATCCAGTGATTGGCTGGGAAGTACTGATGAGCGAGGCCAGGGGAGACGCTGAAGCCCTTGGCCCCGCCCACATACTCCAGAATCCAATTACAATCGACGGACTTGTGACCAATCAGATCTTGTCCTCTCATGATGGGTGGTGCCCGCTGTTTGGAATATTAATGAATGACTTGGTAACTGACATACAACTTCTTTAACCCGGAAATACTACTGTAGATACCAACATACTGTAGAGGTACTGTATCTTAACTGTACATACGACAAAAATATCACTAGAGAATACAGCTTTTAATGTTGCTATCACTTCTCTGTGCAGTTGTCAATACCATCAATATTATTTTTTCCTTATAATCGGGGGATAGACGTAAGTTGAGACAATATATGTGTGTTAAAAAAATGTGTGTTATTACTTGTGAATTAATATTATTTTGTATCGCTACGTAAAGACTACAGGCCATCTAGGAAGTAGGTTCACCATTTACCCTCAACAAGACACCAAACAATGACTTCATAAGCCTTATAACGAGACCAACAAGTCATTTCTCTAACAGTAAACATCTTAGTGAAAACATCTAACGAATATCTTCAAACATTAACCCATTCAGTGGTAGAAATCACTTAACGTTAACCAGGATAAGACACCAAAATCCGACACGACTCCTGAATGGGTTAATGAGATGAAAGTATCCCCCCCAAAAGTTCCCAAAGAAGTGAAAAAAAAAGTCCAAGAGAGAGAAAAAGAAGTCCAGTGCCCTAATAATCACCGGACTTTTTTTAGGGGGTGACTTTTTTATCATCAGTTTTATTGACAGCCATAACTTCATAATCCTCACTATTGAATCTAGGTCACACGCATGTTATAACCAGACCCATTATTAATTCACAAAGGTCATAGGTCATTTGTTTGGTGTTTCATGGGGGATTAGTTTACCTCCACTCTTTTAGTCCCGTTTTCTACAGGAGAAACAACGAGAGAGGAGAATCTGTCCATTACTTCCCAAATCCCATAATCCAAACCACATTTTTCATTATTGTTCTATTTATCTAATTGCTCTTAATAGAAAAAAAATATTTACTGTAATGTTTAAGTTTATTTCTAATTTATTTGTCTATTTATTAATTTCGTTTATAATCTGATAATCTCTTTGTTTACAACATCATTATTTAATCGGTTTCTTTTTACTGAAGATTAACAAATTCACAACAGGTAAACTCTCACTAATTAGCTTTTACCTTGATAACACCTGATATTATTTACTTTACATGACTTATAAACAAATTTTTTGAAGGCAGTATACAGTAGGTGATGATGATGGAAAATTGTACGCTGGGGAACAAGGCTTCTCATTGGATGTGCCCTGTGAAAACAAGTTCGGTGATTGGCTGATTGTACGCTCAGGAAAGGAAGACACAAGAAATTTGATTGGTTGTTTGTGAGATCCGGAAACGATATAATGATTGGATAATGATTACTGGATACTCTGTACGATGATACTGCGTGTTACCTTCACTCTCAGACCTAACCCCTTACCCTCACTCTCAGACCTAACCCCTTACCTTCACTCTCAGACCTAACCCCTTACCCTCACTCTAAGACCGAACCCCTTACCCTCACTCTCAGACCTAACCCCTTACCTTCACTCTCAGACCTAACCCCTTACCCTCACTCTCAGACCTAACCCCTTACCTTCACTCTCAGACCTAACCCCTACCCTCACCCTAACCCCTTACTCACCTAACCCCTTAACCTTCACTCTCAGACCTAACCCCTTACCCTCACTCTCAGACCCTAACCCTCCTTACCTTCACTCTCAGACCCTAACCCCTTACCCTCACTCTCAGACCTAACCCCTTTCCTTCACTCTCAGACCAGACCCCTTACCTCACTCTCCAGGACCTAACCCCTTAACCTTCACTCTCAGACCTAACCCTTACCTTCACTCTCAGACCCCTTACCTTCACTCTAACCCCTTACCCTCCTCTCAGCCCTAACCCCTTACCCTTCACTCTAACCTTCACTCTTCAGATCACCCCTTACCTTCACTCTCAGACCTAACCCTTACCTTCACTCTCCAGACCCCCTTACCCTCACTCTCAGACCCTAACCCTTACCTTCACTCTAACCCCTTACCTTCACTCTCAGATGCTCTCCCCTAACCCCTTACCTTCACTCTCAGACTAACCCCTTACCCTCACTCTCAGACCCTAACCCCTTACCTTCACTCTCAGACCAACCCCTTACCCTCACTCTCCAGACCTAACCCCTTACCTTCACTCTCAGACTAACCCCTTGCCTTCCTCTCTCCAGACCCTTACCTTCACTCTCAGGCCTAACCCCTTACCTTCACTCTCAGACTAACCCCACCTCACTCTCAGACCCTAACCTTGCCTTCACTCTCAGACCTAACCCCTTACCTTCACTCTCAGGCCTAACCCTTACCTTCACTCCTCCCGCCTAACCCCTTACCTTCACTCTCAGACCCTAACCCCTTACCTTCACTCAGACCTAACCCCTTACCTTCACTCTCAGGCCTAACCCCTTACCCTCACTCCTCAGACCTAACCCCTCTACCCTTCACTCTCAGACCTAACCCCTTACCCTCACTCTCAGACCTAACCCCTTACCTTCACTCTCAGACCTAACCCCTTACCCTCACTCTCAGACCTAACCCCTTACCTTCTTTCACCTGACCTTTTCCTTATCCACAAAGAGATACCTAATAACCTTTTCTTCATTCTCTTCCTCCTTCTATTTTTCTTCCTCTTCCTCCTCGTATTCCTTCTTTCTCCTCATTCTCTTCCTCCTTGTCCTTTTCCTTCTCTTCCTCCCTTCTCTTCCAGCTTCTTTTCTTCTTCCTCCTCCTCTTCCTTCTTCCACCTTCTCCTCATCCTCCTCTTCCTTCTTCCACCACCTCCTCGCCATCCCCAATACAAACGACTCATTCTCCCCCCCCCTGAAACACTCAAGTCTTCCCACCATCACCACCACCTCGGGTCCTCCAATACCTGTTCCGAAGCTTCGTTAGTTCGTGTCGATCATCAACATTATAAACCAAACTTCCGATGTTGACAAATAATGTTTACTTCAACTGGAATATTTTTTTTGTCCTTTCTGACTCGCGTGTTTGTGTTGTTGTTTAGAGTGTGATAAAATGAGAGGAAAGTAATAATCTATCTTTGTGTCTTGGTGGTGTTTCGAGCCTAACCTAACCTAACCTAACCTAACCTAACCTAACGTATCCTATCCTATCCTATCCTATCCTATCCTAACCTAACCTATCTTAACCTAACCTAACCCGACCCTGCCCGACCTGACCTAATCTATCCTAACCTAACCCGACCCGACTCGACCCGACCCGACCTGACCTGACCTGACCTAATCTATCCAAACCTATCCTATCCTAACCTAACCCGACCCGACTCGACCGTACCCGACCTGACCTAACCTGACCTGACCTAATCTATCCTAACCTAGCCATAGATGATGACATTGATGATAATAATGATGGTGATGAGGAGTTAATTGATGATTGATGGATAGTGATGAAGAGAAGGAGGAGGGGGGGACGAAGTGGAAATTAGTGATGATGAAGATGATGATGATGATGATGATGAGTGTGTGTGTGTGTGTATGTCTGTGTGTGTGTGTGTGTATGTCTGTCTGTCTGTGTGTGTGTGTGTGTGTGTGTGTGTGTGTGTGTATGTCTGTGTGTGTGTGTGTGTGTGTGTGTGTGTGTGTGTGTGTGTGTGTCTGTGTGTAATAAACAGTGTAAAATAGATGCAAACAGTATGTATATATTTTTCATATAATGAGAAAGAAAGAAAAAAGAAAGAAAGCAACACAAAACATGGGTGGCGAGGATGAGATGGAACAAACAGGCAGAACAAAAAATTATAATTAAAAGAACAAAAGAAATAAGATGAAAGGTGATGAAGCAGACTCTCTCTCTCTCTCTCTCTCTCTCTCTCTCTCTCTCTCTCTCTCTCTCTCTCTGCAGCAATTTGTTGAAGAGTCCATTAGGTTTAAAGAAAGGCAATTTATTTTCCTTTCTAGAAATCAGGTAACTGAAGGACTTCGTTTTGAGCAGGTAATTGGATGAGTTGATTTCACGTAGGCCAGAGAGAGAAACAATCATGCAACGTACAGCCACCTCAAGGCCCAGGAGGAGGAGAGGCCCATGGCATCACAGTACAGAAGACAGCGACCTGTTG